TGTGTGTGAGAGAGAGAGAGAGAGAGTGTGTGTATGTGTATGTGTGTGTGTTCTCTGATCAACCTAGCCCTGTTCCCGCTACTGTCCTTCAAGTTTAAGACCCGTGCCCCGGGCGCCAAGACTTACGTACAGGTAGGTGGCCATTTATTTAAAAATTCCACATCAGTAGCGGGCATTGTAGCCCCTAGCAGTGATGCAAGCCTGGCATGTTCTGCGCCTTGATCGAGTCAGGTTTTTCTTTCTTATTTTAATTAAATTGTTGTGGCAGTCCATTCCACTCTTGAATTAAAGCTTGTCCCAGTCGTTGTACATACAATGTTAATGTCGTTTTGGGAGCTTCCTCTTAGGCCCAGTCAGTGCAAGCGTAATTATTGGAAAGATGGCAAACGTTGGTCCTTATAAGGCCGCCTTGCTCGATGTCCGAATGTGTTTTAATGCCGTTGTATCCTTACTTACTCAAGTGAACAAGGGCACAGTTACAAAAAAACAAAGTGGAAGGTTTCTATTGCTCCTGGGTATATTTATTGTCTTTTTTGTAGTTTTTTTGTTGTTGCAATTTTTGTTTGTTTTGTTTATTGTTTGTTTGTTTGTGTTTTTTGTGGGGGGGGGTGTGTGTGTGTGTGTGTGTGTGTGTGTGTGTGTGTGTGTGTGTGTGTGTGTGTGTGTGTGTGGGGGTCAGTTTTTCACTTATGTATTTATTCTATCGTCATGTTCTCTCTCCACAGGTTATTTTGGCGCGTTTTGGACGGCCGGCCCACTCAGTGTTCTGTTTCTTCGCCCTGTTGGTGAATGTGCTCATACTGTCGACTATACTGGTGGGAGGTGTGGCGGTGGTACAGGTGGGTACCCCTTGTCTTTAAATGTTTGGTAAGTGTTTTACGGCGCTCGCAACTGCATAAGGTCAAATGAGCGCTCGGGACACATTAACATTTTCACTTGGTGGGAAAATTTGAATTTGGGCCGGGAGGCGGCCGAAGCCTACTCTTATCGATTTTAGACCACCTAGGGATCTTTGATGTGCGCAACTTGCACACAGGACCTCCGAGATGTTTCGTCTTTCTCTGAGAAGGCTAGGTGTAGATCTTTCCTACCAGAAGATCAGGGATGTGGCTGAAAGACAGCAGTAAGAAGGAGCCAAGGAGTAGCAGTAGAAAGGCTGCAGAAAGAGTAAGGAGCCCAGAGGAGGGGATAAAGGAAGTGAGGGGGTGGGGGCAGATGGCGGAGAAGTAATTAATTAATTAATTAATTCATTCATTTCTTTATTCATTCATTCATTCATTCATTCATTCATTTACGTATTTATTTATTTTTGAATTCATGTATTCATGTATTTATTTATCTATTCGTTCACGTTTATGTATTTATGTATTAATTTTTTTCCACCTGTATTTCTCTCCTCCAGTCGACGACGAAAGACGCGTCCCCGGAGTTCTGTATCCTGGTGCTCGTGACGCTGTGTGGAAGCTACTCCTTCATCGGAGGTCTCGGCTCTACCTTTTACGTGAGCTACTTCAACGCGCTCACCACCTTTGTCGTGCTCAGCTATCTCGTGCTCAGCATGTTTTATCTGGTGAGTAGTTGCAACAGCCCTCACTACTTAATATTTTTTATCTGGTGAGTAACAACACCGATTAGTATTTACAACAACACTGCTTCATTATGTTCTATCTGCTGGTGAGGAATTAGGATTGGTCAATATGTTTATTCTGGTGAGTAGTTGCAGCAATATTGGTCAATATCTTCTATCCGGTGTCTAACAACATTGGTCGACAGGCTCTATTTGTTTGTTTTAGTAAGGTTTTACGGCGCTCGCAATTGCATAAGGTCATATGAGCGCCAAGGGGTGGATGCCAACAGAGAAGTCCAAACAGGAAATCAGGCTTACTCTGCTCACCTCTCCAGCCTCAACAGCACAAAGTCTGCTTCGACCATCAGGCACCCCGGAAATAGCAGTTCACAAGAGAGTGACAAACATACAAAAGAAGTAGATGAAAAATGACGAAAGTAAGGATGAGGAAAGAAAAAGCAGCAGTTCCCCCTGTGTTGTTCCCAAACAGCATGAGCACGACATGGATAAATCAGCCCATTAACAATTCTACTGTGCATAAGAACATGTTAATATCCCCCGTTTGGGAATGGCTCAAAGACACTTTAGTCAGTGGCACTGCCCTTGGGGGGGGGGGGGGTGGTAATCTATTATCTAGTGAGTAACAACATTGGTCAATATATTCTATCTGGTGAGTAACAACATGTCGATTTTAATACATTGCCGTTTCTGATATCAATATTTTCATTTCAAATTCCAACAATAAACTCTGTTTCTTAATATGTAAACAGTTTTACTTCTTTCATGAACAATGTCGTTCATAATATGATCACTTTTAAGCACAAGGGAGCAATCCCGAACAAAAAGCTGTTTTGAGAAAATCGAGGGTCATTTTTTATTAACCTTTATTCAGTTTCTTTAAAAGACAAGGAGAGTTTTCTCTATAACCAAACAAATATACACACCAATGAAACCAAACTTCTCCTATAGGTAGGGCAATGCCCACTTTTGGTGTAGGTCAAGATTTCTGGAAACCCCGGAAATCTGGGTTAGCCCGCTTGTCCTTAAAAGCGACCATAATATAATCATTGTTGTTTATGATATCAACATTTTCATTTCAAATTCAAATAACAACTCTGCTTCTTTTTATGTATACAGTTTAATTTCTCTTATGGACCATGTTATTTCTAATAATATAAACAATGGTTTTTTTCTGGTACTAACAATAAATAAATATCGTCTCCTCTTCTTTTTTTCCTAGGACGATTTGCCGTTCGGTGACTTGGAGGAGATCTACAACAAAGTCAACTGTCTGCCTGACGTGGAGGGAAACACAGACGGCAGTTACTTCACCTTCCTCTCAGAGGGCGCTGTCATCTTCGGACTCAGCAGTAAGTACAACTCTTCACATCATAATGTCATGCCACTTTCCAAACGAAAACTTTAACTCTTTATCTACGACAAGCCCAGCCCTGCGGCTCGTGGTCGGAACCACTGTGTCGGTGAGTCGCTGACAGCGGCTCGGGCACATTCCTTTTCGACGACTTTGACATCTAATTACTTTTCGGCAATTGCAGCAAACGGGTTTCTTTTACCGGAAGTTCATTCATTAGATGAAGAACTATCAACATAGGTTGAGTAGTTTCCATTTAATTACCCATTTAATGACGTTTTAGTCATTTTTAGATTTAGCACCAAAAAAGGCCCCGGTGTAGTGGGTTTACGCCCCACAGAGATAAAGAGTTAAATAAATGTAAGTGTTACTCTGTCCATTGGCACAACTTAGATCATTTTGGAGGCCGACTTCTCCC